TTCCATGTTCCGGACGTTTTATTTGATCTCAGACCGGGAAAAACGGCTGAGGGCATCGGCATTGCTTTTTCGCCCTGCAACCCGGGCGACCAATTTGATACTTGCTCCACTCCCCGGAGTTACTTAAAAGATGCCTGCAGTCAATCCCTCGACCTGCAGTCAGACAACAACTCCGATCGGGGAGATTTATGTTCCTTGAGGACCGAGGACCTGTAGTAGACTATGTACTTCGTGACGAACCGACTGGTGGTTTGACGCTAAATGGAAGCCCAGTGGAATTTTCTCAGATGGGCAACCATGGTAGCCCGTGTTTCGGGGGGCGCAGGCTCACTCGTCCAACTAATAACAGGACCCTCACTGTAATTCGCCGCTCCGCCCTGGATGGATGGAGTTTCTGGATAGAGCAGACATGGTGCGATGCGCCTCTCTCCCTCTCGAAGTATCAGGCTGGTCCCTCTTCGAATGGGGAACCGGTCGTCTCTAGTCGTAGAATTAGTACGTACTACTACCACCACTACTACTAGATACTTACTGCAGACCTGCGCATTCCGTTTGCCCCACAGAGGAGAAGATCTTACCATTTGACTCGCATGGTTGCCATTCTGTTCCGGCATTCCAACCCAAGGGAGACGAAGAAGTAAGAGAAATAGCAACACTTTCCCACCAGCCTCGACTTGGATATTTCCTCCTCCTCCCCTCTTTCTTTTTTGTTCAGTGCGCAATTTATCTTTACTAGTTCCTCCCTTTCTTTCCCCTTCCTTTTCTCCCCTTGGAACCTGTCAAGGATACTTCTATTTTATTGTCCTCCTCCCCTACATCACTGGCCCTGATCGTCTGCCCTGATTCCCAAAGAGACCAACCCAGATTTGCCTCCGGCTCCACCTTTGAACCATTGCAATGCGCCGAAGCAGCGGACAACTCTAAACCTCACTCCTCTGTCCCCGACTGAACTTGAACGGAAGAATTTGAGGACTGTCAAAAAAATAAGATCCCAATTTAGGGCTGTCGCGTCGATCGCACGAGGTGACAGACAACCAGAAAGTGGACAGGAACAGCAGATTCGAGAAGCGATCGTCTCGTGGACCTCTTGTTTCCCCCGATCAGCTAACTAACTAACTAACAACCGACCGAGTTGTCACTCTCGACAAAGGTTGATAAGAGAGAGAGAGAGAGAGGAGGGTGACAGAAGAGAGGAAACCAAAGAAAAAAGGATCAGAAGATTTGATAAATCCGATCCCTTTCCCACTGGATTTCCAAGAATATTAAATCAGGAGAAGCAAAATCCGATTGATTTGACTCTGCCTTGATTTGATTTGATTCACTTTTAATTTTCCTTTCTTCTTTCTTTCTTTTCTTTTTTTTTCTTCTTCCCTCTCTTCCCTTTCCAATAATCCCAACCCCATGTCTGTGTCTGCATCCGTTTCCGCCTCCGCCTCCTCCAACCTCCCATCCGATTCTCGCTCCTCAGGACCCCTCCGTCGTCTGAGCCAACTGCGTGCCTATACGCAGCAGCATTTCTCCTCCTCCGCTTCCTCTTCCTCTTCCTCCCACCCTCCTGCCTCGTCATCATCGACCAACGGTCCCCGCATCTCGCGTCGTCATACCCTCAGCAGTCGAGTTTCCTGGTTTTCTCCCGCCTCCACTGGGACCGAATCTTCGCAACTCTCGCCTGTGGGGTCTCGCTCGTCGGGCCCATGTCCCGAAAGTGAGCAGCCATCCACTCTTGCCCGCTATAGTGCGGTTTTTTTCCCCAGCTACCGCGGCCTCGAGCTCGACTTGCGTTCCTCCCGCCAGTCCGACCTGTCCAGCTCTTCTCCCTCCAACAACCAATCCGGTGGCCGTCAGACGACAGCTCAAGGCACGACCATGGCGCGGCCCAGAGGTGCCTCTCAGGCGCTGGATGCGAGACCTGATCTCGATGGCACCAGTCCATCGGCCTCGTCCAACCTCCACGCGGGAGCCCTCGACTCGTCCGACCCGGTGATGTCGGAGAACCCGTCGACTGCGTCCCCGCGACCGAAGCAGAAAGCGACCATTCGCTTCTTCCCCCATCAAGACACCCATCAAAGCTCCCGACCCTCCTTGCCCTTCATTCCCGTCTCGCGAACGCTCCCGTCTGAAAGTTGCGTCATCCGAGTTGGTCGGTACTCAGAACGCGATGGCCTGCCCGTGGCCAACCCAACGGACCCCTCCGATGCCCCGGTCGGGTTCAAGTCGAAGGTTGTGAGTCGGAAACACTGCGAGTTTTTATACCTGAACGGCCAGTGGCATATTAAAGATGTGGGAAGCTCTTCAGGGACGTTTCTCAACCACATGCGCTTGAGCCAGCCGAACATGCCGTCTCGGCTGTATACTGTGAAGGATGGAGATATTGTGCAGCTGGGGATTGACTTTCGGGGAGGCGAGGAGATGATTTTCCGCTGTGTCCGTATACGGATCGAGTGTAATCGGTCCTGGCAGCAGCAGCCGAATGAATTCAAGTATGATGATCTGGCCTCGAAGCTGTTTGTGTGGACTACCGGCTAATGAGCGATGCAGTAAAAACACCGAGAGTCTGATTCGGAATCTGGGCAAGGGAGATACAGCGGATTATTCTGGATGTCGGGAATGCTCCATTTGTCTTGGATCTGTCCTGGTTCGTTCTCTCCTTCTGGCAGATCGCACAACTGCAGGACACAGCTAATCTGTTTGCAGCGGCCTTACCAGTGTTTGTTCATGGCAGCCTGCGCCCACGTCTGGCATTACAAATGCGTTAGTCGTCTTATCCACACGCCAGACTACCCCATGTTCCAATGTCCCAACTGCCGTGCCTACACCGATTTAAGCGCCGAGGTCGATGATACAAACGATTTTGACGAGGAGGACGAGAAGAAGGACACTCCAGAGGACAAGCAGGATACCACCGATGCATCTCGGTCACAAACGAATTCCCCCCAGTTGGAGGCCCAGCCAGCCCCTTCTGGCGACGAACCCCGCCAGGACAACCTGCCGGCCGAGGCAGGGCTCGCTGCCAATATTGAGAGCATGCGTCTGCAAGACACAGATGCATCCGATGATGCGCGGCGTCCCCCCGCTCCCACGTCCAACAATGATGGCACCCCTGCTAATGCCGATAATGAAGTGCCTGGCTGGCAGTCCGTGACCCAGTCACCCAATGCTCTGCAGGCCCGCCAGTCCCATCTACGTGCGGACACCCCTGTCCGGTCGGAATCATCTGAGGACAATCCTCTGACGCCATTGAACGATTCGGGGCCCCTAGCCCTTGACGGCCGGGCCGCCATGCCCTGAAGCAACGAGGAGTGTGGTCGCGACATAATTGGATAGATCGCCCCGATCCGCTCCTCGACAGCTGTATTTGGCTTCTAGATTTGGACAACCCTTGCATCCAGTCCACAGGACTGAGTCGTCATTGATATGTGCATCCCTATTGTCGCCTTGGTTTGATGTCTTTGGTCTTTTGCATTCTCGAGCCGTATTTTCATGTCCCATTGTTATTAGCTTCTTAAGTCCCAGCATTGAGCATCGCGATTGTTTCTTTCCCCTCTGCTTCCCCATTTATTCTCTTCCACCCCACCTATTCCACATATTTTATACCCATTTGCAGCATCCTTTCTCCCTCTCACACACTCCCTCTCACTCCATCCCGTTCGGCACTGGCTATTTCACCATCAACGCAGTGGACCACCTACCATGCCATGCCTTGCGAACCGCACCCGGCTTGGAGTACACACACGGGAGTCATCTTCTTTGGAAACCCGGAGGTTGGCGTTTGCAGTCAGGCAGTCAGTAGTGGTCCCCCGTTTATTTTGATTTTGGTTTGTCCGGAACTGTGATTCATTGGCGCGCATGAATGGGTGTGGTTGTGAGATGTACATACCAGCTATACATATATTTCCATATTTTATCCAATACCTACTTTACCCAGATATATCATCCCTGTCTGAAATTAGGCAGCACACTGCAAGATCAGTTCCCCTGTCCTTGTGATGTGTATGAGGTGACATGAGAACGCAGCATCGTGATGCTCGGCGGGTTGGCCGGCTGGCTGGCAGTCTGTCCAACCCACCCCCACCCACTACTAGTAGTATCTCTATCATCTCCAATAGTACAACTACATACTACTATTAATTAGCTAGTAGAGAATAATGACTACTATTACCCACGGTACAATACCATACCATTCATTCTGAACACAGTAGTAGTAGTAGTAGTAGTAGTAGTAGTAGTAGTAGTAGTAGTAGTAGTAGTAGTAGTAGTAGTAGTAGTAGTAGTAATAGCACCCATTGCCAACCGTTCCATACTCATAAATCTCACCATTGATTTGAAGTAAAAACATGAAATATTCTTTCGATAATATACTGACTGCTAGTAGCTAGTACTATTTACTTACTGCTATGAACACTTTAGTTAATCGTGTTATTATGGGAAGGTAGGTACATGCTTAGTATTATAATGATGATATATATATTCTTGTTAGTACTAGTACTATTCCCTCAGATCACTCATTCTCAGTAGTTAGTTAGTAAGCACAAATTTAACAGTAAGCAGTACTAATAGTAATGTGTTCTGCATATTGATAGTGAGTTGAGTATTACTATTAATGTACTTGCTACTTACTAAGTTCAATTACTACCAGTAACCTACTACTGGCTATGTAACTTAGCTTAGTAGTATAGATAAGATGGAAGCAAAGACGAAATATTTCTGGATAATTGGTTTATTCATATCATGATGGATTGATTTCCTTTCTCATTTCATCAATCTGATAATAGTACACACCCCAGTTCATTAAGTCACATAAGGAAAAAAGCAAAAAAGGAAATAGACAATTCGCTGGTATCAATCAATCATCTCATATCATCTCAGGCCTCAAGTCAACCATTAAAGTCATCCTGGCCGCATCCATATGTCATCATGAAAATAGATAGTGAAGCCATCACACTGCCGCAACAAGTGTTTTACTTCTCTAATAAACATCATCCCTTAGTTCAACCAAGCCCTCAAAACCCACGCTGGGTGCCAAGGGTCCCGCGGTTATCGAGGTCGGAGTCGACGCGGGGGTCGAGCTTGTTAGCCATGTTGGAGCTGTGAGGGCCAGCGGTGGTGCTCTGGCCGGTAGTGTTGTAGCTGCTGCTGGCCATTCCCTGGTGACGGGCGCGGTTGTCCATGTCCGAGTCAACGCGGGGATCCATCTTGTTGGCCATGTTGGAGCCGTGAGGGCCCGCGTTGTTGCTACCACCGTAGCCGCTGCTGGTGGTGTAGTCGTTCACGCCGCTGCCGCCGTAGCCTGCACCTGCACCGCCGTATCCTGCACCAGTTCCTGCACCACCGCCGTAGCCTGCGCCGGTGGTGTGGGTGCCAGAGTAGCCGCCAGCGGCACGGTTGTCTGGGTAGGATGTTAGCATTGTGTTCCATGGTATGATAGATGCTGGGTAAGGGGGTTTGTATGTACCTCTGTCACTGTTAACGCGGGGGTCCATCTTGTTCGCCATGCTGGAGTCGTGAGGACCGTGGGCACCACCCATGGCCTGGTGACGGGCACGGTTGTCGCGGTCACTGTCGACACGGGGGTCCATCTTGTTGGCCATGCCGGTCTCGTGAGGACCCGAAGAGTAGCCACCGGAGGAGTAGCCGGCACCGGAGCCGCCCATACCGCCGGTGGGGTTGGCACGGTTGTCACGGTCACTGTCGACGCGGGGGTCCATCTTGTTGGCCATGCTGGAGTCGTGGGGGCCGTGAGCACCGCCCATGGCTTCGTGGCGGGCGCGGTTGTCTGGGAAGTATGTTAGTATCGTGTTTTTGGGAACGATTGGATGGGGATAGCTTACCGCGGTCGCTGTCGACGCGGGGGTCCATCTTGTTGGCCATGTTGGAGGAGTGGGGACCAGCGTTGGAGGAAGAGGTGTTGGAGGAAGAGGTGTTGCTGGACTCCTTGTGGTGGCCAGTCACGGCATCCTTAACCTTGTGCATAAGTCCGGACATGATGGGCAGTTGTATGTGTGTTTGATTTAGAAATTGAAGATGTGATGGTAGATAGAGTGTTTGGGATGTAGATAGTTGTAGACAGTCAGATATGCTGAGTCAGTTATTGTGTTGATGATGAGGATCGAAATTTCTTGGAGACCAGCCAGGTTTATATAAGGAGTGGTGAGTGAAGAGACGCCTGGCCATGACGTAGCGATACGTCGAGTGGCCGCATTCACTCCTGGACGTGCCCTGGTCCGGCAAAGTGACTTGATGGCGGTTGAGTGAATGATTGATTGAGTTCACCTCCTTCACAATGGCGGGTTTGTAGGATGACGTTGAGATGTGCTCATGTTTCTCAGCCCTAAAGCAGCGATGGATATGGTCTTTGTCATTGTCCTCTGTTTCGCAGCATCGAAAGCGGCAGGGAATAGCTTCCACGGATGTCGATCGTTCCTAGGCGGGACATTAAGTGGTAAGTGGCTCCGCATCTTTGTGTAAGGCCAGATTAAGAAGCCGTCTATTTTTGTCTCCCACCAGCGTGTCCAGCCAGTTAATGCCCTCTGGCCAAGTCTGGGGTTGTTGGAGATGTGCATCAGTGAAGATGAGTCAGCAATCCATGGCGGATGATGACCTCAGCCAGAGTGTCGATGTCGTCGGCCAAGCCTAGGTGCATGGTACTTATTGGCTGTAGATGTGAATTGCGGGGATCAGGGGGGAGCAAGGCCCACCCACACGAATCCACTTGCTGCGGGCCCAGATGGTGCCTCCGATCAAATGGGGATCGGTCTTCCCCCTCCATCTGGCATGCCAGATTGAGCTGCACACCTTATTTTTAAGGATTATTTTAGTATCCGCACTAGCCTACTGCACTGTGTACCTCCGGAGAACAAAGGAGACTTGTATTCCAGAGATATCTGGTGGCGCGGTCTCGTATACGGCGGGTGTAGGATAGAGAATCCTATAATTCGGGCTCCTGCCGGCTTACATCACGGATTGACCCGATCCAAATTATGACTACCCGTTCCGTGGGCGGAAGCATATCACTGCCGTTTTGATACTATTCGCTTGCCAAGGTCTCACCATGCATGATGCAATCTGCGTGAATCAAGCTCCCCATAGTGCTGTGCACGTTGACGATATTCCTACTTTAGCAGTTCGGTCTAGTTTGGACGGGATGTCGAAGAGCTCTTTGTCCTGTTCCTGAAATTGCTTTGCTGGCAACACCGGGTGAATCCTTGGAAGGCTGGAGACGTAAGCGGCTGTCAGATCTACACCCGCCCGTCCAGTGGAGTGTACAGTTGTGAGTGGCTTGCATCGCTAGCAGGGTTGGCAGAACGGTCTAGCTCGTAACAGCATGCACCTCCGTGTAGACGTTCGTCATTCAATCCGGCCTAAAATGGGGTGTGTCTCTTGCAAACAGGCTTGGGCATCCGAGCTCTCAGTCACTACAGTATCATGTCCAAGACCTTGAGTGCTGCGCCGCCAGCAATGTAGGTAATTGTATTTCGGACTTCGGTGGAGAATTCCCAATGGTGCTGCTAAATGAGGTGGAGTGTCACCGGGACAGCCAGCTACCCTTGTATGGAATGACTGTTTGGTTCTGTGGCCACCTCGGATATAGGATATTTCTTGGCCATACCCAGGATATCTGATGGTTTCGCTTGGCTTCTACCATGGACGCATCAATCGCTGGCTGGAACTTAGGCGCTGCGTTTAGTTGCAGTAAAGATCTAGAAGAGGTATTCGGACTACTTTCACTGTCCTGACTGTTGATGGCATCCGAAATGAGTTTAACGATGCCCTCGTTTCCACACTCTGTGGCATGTGTAAGCGGTTTTGTGCCATAGCGGTCCTCTGAATTTGGGTTCACCCTGCCGCTCTTGAGCAGTAGTGCAACGATGCTTTCATGGCCTCCCTGGCAGGCAAGAGCCAGTGGTGTCCTGCCATGGTCGTCCTGTATATCAGGATTGACCTCATCGTTCTCAAGTAGTATCCCGACAATCTCATCATGGCCATAATACGAGGCCTGCGCGAGCGGCGTCTTACCACCGGCATCCCGACAGTTCGGGTCAGGTATCCCGGTACTCAGGAGTGACTTGACAATATTCTCATGTCCCCTGAGTGCAGCATGCAGTAGTGGAGTGCGTCCATACTTGTCCCTAGAGTTGAGGTCTTTGACTCCAAAGTCGAGCAGTATCCGAACAATACTTCCGTGGCCACGGTGTGCTGCTCGTGAGAGTACAGTCATACCTCTAATACCTTTTCGATTGGGATCAACTCTCCCGGTGTTCAGTAAGAAAGTGACAACATCTTCATGCTGAGCTTCTGCTGCATAGACAATGGGTGTAAGCCCAGCATAATCCACGGCATCTGGATCGACCTTGCCGGTAGCAAGAAGCATCTTGATGATATTGAGAGGGCCACGTCCCGCTGCATACCCGAAGGGCGTTTTTCTCTCACTAAAGGTCCGCATGTCGGGGCAAATCCCTTGCTTGCTGAGCAGGAGGCTGACAATACTCTCGTTACCATGATATGCTGCATGTGCGAGTGGCGATAGCCCACAATTTTCCACTCCATTCACATCATTCCACCGCGTTGTTCGGAATAAGAAGGGGAAAAACCAAGACTGTCTGAGCAGGAGTTCCAGCACGTCAAATGTCCCATAACTCTGCTGCGAGTGATAAGGCCGAACGACCATAGGTGCTCCTATAATTCAAATCGATCTCTTTGTCTTGTAGTAGCGTTCGAACGGCGCGACGTAATCCCAGCCATGATGCTCGCATCAGAGTGGTTGAGGGAGTGAACTGATGTATAGACGCTGCCCCGTTATTGAACCCAAGACAGAAGGCTTCACCGCGGCGAATGATGTCCATTATCTGTGAATGTATCGATGGGTCCTCTTCGATATCAGAGGATAAGACATGCTTGCTCCAATTTTTGACGGCATATTCGAGGAAGGGAGTCCGACTGAACTCCACTATAAGGTTGCTTTGGTCTCTTGAGGCCATCTCTTGATCCGTAGAATGGAGAAACCCCACACAAGCCTTCGCCAATATCCACTCTGAACCATGCGGATTCAACGAAGCTTTCCACGTAAGGTCCGGAATTGGCTCACTTCTACCTTCCCTATACACCAGAAAAATTCTTGCGGTCTCGTGTAGAAGGTAAATTCTTGAGTCGATGATAGTGATGAAAAGACCACATATTTCCCGGATTGACCGCTTTGTTCGATGCTCTGGTTCGATCTCAAGCTGGTCTTCGGGTGATCTCCGGTCTAAAACAGCCACTGCAGTAGCCATATCCGCCACCGTCAGAGGTGTATTTGCAGCAACGACAATATGTAAGATTTTTATCGCCTGATCGGGGTCTGGAGTGCGGCGTAAAATCTGATCGTAAGCTTCGTCAAGGGATCGCGGTAGTCTTCTGATGGCTGCACGTATACTAGTGGGAGTGACCGTCAATATATCGTCTAAGGTACTCATGATGTGATCGATCCACAGATATGTCCGATTTTGAACGGAGGTTAACTCAGAGAGAAGAAGGTTGCGTTCGTCTGCCAGAAGTTGTAGTCGCTCTGCAAGCTCCTCTATTCGGTGCTCTATGGCCATATTGATTTCACCCTCTATCTTCTGTACCTCATCGTTGTCTTCTCCACGTAGGTGAATGGCTGGGAAGTTATTCCCAAGAGACTGAAACCTTCTCTGAATAGCGCTATTTGGTCGACTAGTGAAGAGGAATTTCAACCTCGAAGAGGCCGTTGTACCTTGGTAGAGGTTGGTCAAACATTCAGCCAGTTGTGACTGTTCGTCGCACCCACAGTCATCCAAGGCATCCAGAACACAAATCACTTGCTCATCCGGAAGCTCCTCCGCCAGATCGCAAAGAATAGACCACAAGCTCCAGAACGATTGATATATGTGACCACTTTCAAATCTGGATCGGAAACGGTCGGAAAGCAGGCGCGGTCTTTGCTCGAAGATCTGATGGAGGATGCAGCATAAAGCATCCACAAGGATCTCCCGATTCTCGAAATTCTCCTTGAAGAAGAAGTAGCAGACTACAGTTGTCCTTGACCTAAGCAAAACTCCATCTAACAGATATCTGGCCAGGACGGATTTTCCACAGCCAGGATCGGCTGAAATCCAGAGAAGACCCGGCCCATGATCTTCTCTCCAATTGTCGAAGAGGTGGTGTTGGATAAACCATTGACAAGTCCCCTCAACTCGTTATGGGTTCCTATCCTTAGCGTCTCGGTAGTTGCAGGTATACAGCTGCTTGAGGACGTTGGCTTTCCACTCTGATGTATGTTCTTCGCGCGGTGGAGTATCTATAACAATGTTATTACATTTCATTACCAACGCAGTAGCTGTTATTGGGCACATACAATGAGGCTCCATGTACATCAGGGCTTCCTTCGCTAAAGCTGCAGCTGCACCTGCAGCATAAGCATGCCAGTCATCATTTTTGTGAGAGTCACAGTAATGGGAAATTCCACGAATGACAACGCATTGGAATTGGTCCATAAGTCCGGCTGCCTCCATCTCACAACACATCGCGCCACCTGACTCCGTTGCTATGCTGTCCCGCTTTGTGCCATCTTTGATGACACGGTTTCCTGACGCGATGATGCCATAGAAGATGCGTGACTCGTGAGGCAGTGTTCGCGGAGCTCGTTTCACGGCCTTAGTTGCGTCACAAGAAACACAGCTTTCCCCGTCCTGAGCGTGGATATAGTCCGCTGGGAACAAGATATCGGTCTCCGGCAGCGGCCTTTGATACTCTGTTAATGTGGGATATTTGCGCAGCATATCCGACAGAAATACTGCAATCCGATTTGCTCGGACTTGGTGGTCTGAGGCCATGTTTGCTATAGCCTTTCTCCACTCAGCAGGCGGAGGACACAGTACACCCTTCCTCTTGAACCCGTTTGTGGTTTCCTTACCCAAATCATATTCGACTACTCCTCCAATAAGACCGTCAGGAGCGCTTACAACCACATCCCCAAGACGAATATCGTTAGCAAGGCTAGGAATGCCACCACCTATGCCCACTAGCAAACGAAGTCTGATTGCCGAGAAAGTGCGAATTAGGTGAATGGCCACGGCCGCCGCGGATGCCGTTCCCTGTGACCCCTTTGGGAGTGCCGCGAGCACAACATTGTGCCCACTCAAGGATCCAAGTATGTATATGTTCGGATCTTTTCTGTTTCCCAGAAGCATTCCATGCTCTTCGTCAAGCATGTATCGAGCCGCACTCAGTTCAACCTCCAAGGGGCATATTAATGCGACCGTGTACGCCTCGTTGTCAAGACGCCGTATGGAAGTGCTAGGCATTTTCCATCGCTCTACCGTCAATGAGTTAGGAAGGAGAGAGTTTCTAGGATCATAAGGCTTGGAACATGCCCAAGGTCAGTATGCGACATATGAAGTTCCCAGTGAGGTGCGGAGAGCAGGGCTCAGCCTCGCGCTGATGACTTGGGCCTTCGTGCACCAATAAACACCGAGACCATGAGATACCGAAGGTACCATTCGAGTATATAATCTCTGGTATGGTATCATAACTCCGCTTGGCCTAATGCTGGGGCTGTTGATATAGCGAGAGAACCCGAAGGCCGAACATAGAAGCCCCTCCCCAGACCTTCTTGATTCCCCAGATGAATATAATCATTTTAAAATGGGAAACCCGAGAATGGAGTGTGGTGAACGACATTCGTTCGTATTACATCTTCTCAGCGCTTGCCAGGCGGCAAGCCGACGAACTGCAACGAGACGATCGGCTCCCGCTGGTAGATAGTCGCAACAGAACTAAGTCTGTGCCACCCCAGAGGCGCCGAAGCATCATTACTTATGAGTAGGCTGATTCGAATAATAAAGTTGGGACTGAAGAGATTCGAAGTCGTGGTTTTCACTTAGTAGTCCTGATTGTGCTGTCAACTGCGAATCCCAGGTTATCCGAGAAATATGTATCCACTGCTTATCATGACTTACAGCACATGATGCATTCGCAGCCCTCTGTGATTTATCTGGGTTTCACCTTCTCGTGCTATCCGAAGTGGACATATTATCGTGGCCAAACCAGGTCAAAGTACGTCGAAGTCAACTGGTTGGCAGGAGTGTTGTGAGGAAATAGAGTTCTGGGCGAGGCAGCCCCGTGAAGATGGATTCACCAACCACAACATCCGGCGGCTGGTTGATCCCCCGCGAGTTGTCCTTAATTTCTGCACGATGATGCCACTCCTTATCTCGTACCAATTCCCAAGAGTCCCATATGATATGGCTCGCTGGACAAGGAGCACTAAATCAGGAGAGACCTTTCACCAACGCCGACTCGCCCTATCGTTCCACCTCGACTAAGCAACTAACCCAAGTTTGACAAAGCGGACGGGCTGTTGACCGCTAGACGCAAATTCTTTCACGCTGTGTACAAAGACCACCTCTTCTATTTCTGTGTCTCTTCTCCCTCAGTCAGATTGAATTGGAGGCAAATATGCGATTGAATTTCAGTCAACCCCCGACACCGGCGTTGAGTCGGCAGAACACCACGTTCCTTAACAATGCGCATCACTATCGCGCAGGGACCCATCCGCACCTCCTGACGAGTCGGAGCAAGCCCCGAAGGTAAACAAGATTGATGGCTCACAAAACTGACTCTTACTATAACATTATGCTGAAAACGCGCCTTATCAGATGGCCTCTGGTGTTCCGATTCATCAAAGGCGCTATCCACGCGGCCATTCTGCTGCCCGTCTTCCTGCACGCCGCGTTCACAGCCTTTGTGGTCTACCTCGATATCTATGTCTTTGATACAGTGGGGCTACCGAGCAGTATTGTAGGTCTTACTCGCATGCATGTTGTTGTGCTTCCAGATCTGATTATGCAACCGTAGATCCCATCCTTATCTATAGTCGTCGGTTTGATGCTCGTTTTCCGCAACCAGACGTCCTACAACCGGTTCTGGGATGGGCGTAATGGAATGAACACAATCTATACGTGCATTCGCAACCTGGTCAGGACTATCGTCACCAATGGCTACAGCACCGCAGGTCCTCCGACTGCCGCGGAGAAAGAGGACATCGAGCGGACGATACGGATCCTCATGTCCATTCCCTTTGCAGTGAAGAACCATCTTCGCGCTGAATGGGGAGCGGCGTGGGCTCTAGGAAATGATGTAGCCGAGAACGGTGTCGCAGCGTTCAACCCCGATTATGCAAGTCTCCTTCCAGCTGGACTGGTAGGCCACGAGGATGAGGGGCTGGGATTACCGTTTCAACTAACCTTCTTCGTGGATGGGTTTATCAAGAGGGGAGTGGAGCGCGGCTGGTTCAACGCTCCCGGGGCAAGTCAGATGCAAGCTCAGTTGAATTCATTGATGGATGCCTATGGAAGAATGGAGACCATCAAGCTGACTCCTATTCCGGTTGCGCACTTGTAAGTTCCTTCATCTTGAACCACCCCTTTACATCTCACGCCAGCTCACATGTGAAAGGATCCACCAAAAACAAGTTCTCGCTCTCTTTGGCTGCGTCCTACCCTTCGGTATGGTCGACGATATGGGGTGGTGGACCGTTCCCATGGTCAGCCTGGTCATCTTCACCCTGTATGGCATCGAAGGCATCGGCTCGCAATTAGAGGACCCCTTCGGGTACGACCGCAATGACATCAAAATGGATGCCATTGTCGGCGATGCCAAGACCGAAATTGAAGTCGTACTGGCCGAATGGCGCCGACTGATGGCGTCGCTCGAATCAGGCTCGGCGACCGATAATGGCGATCAACATCTCGGCAACGGTCTGGTTGCGGATGAGGAGGTTAAGGAGCAGAAATTCATGCCGCCCGATATGTTCCTCAAGCATCGCGCGAGACCATCTGGGCGATAAGTAGCTGGCTAGCTATTTCTGATTGTGATGGTTCCCGGAAACTGGGCGTTGTGGAGATCGAGCAGATCTAGCGTCACTAACAGGGAACTATCACCTTAGACCATCTCGGTTACAAGAGATCGACGCCCTATCAGCCTGTCAAGCATGCGAGTGATTATCTAGGAGGATATTTTTCATCCTTGCGATCGTCAGGGGATATCTCCATCGAGTAATTCGGATCATTGCTGGACCAATCCGACGTCGTCGACATATCAAGTCTATAGTTTCTTTTTTTGTATTTTCCGAAATAGCTCCACTTTCTGTGCATACCCTCAATATCATGAACATGAAATGAACCATACATATAAAAGCCACCACGAAACCCATCTCAAATACTCAAAAACAACAACAATAACAAATCCATCATCAACCAAACAATTCATAGCTCAATCAAAATCAAAATGAACCTCCTCCCCCTCCTCCTCACCCTCACCACCTTCCTCCTCCCCCTCACAGCAGCCTTCACCTCGACCTTCCAAAACTGCCAAAACCTCAACCGCCTAAACCAAACCGTCCACCGCGTCCACCCTCTCCTGGAAAAATTCTCCTCTGTGCACGCCTCCCAATCCCAAACAGCCGTCACCACAACCACCACCACCCTCGCCAACGGAACCACCATCACCGTCACAAACACTACCTCCTCCGCTGCAGTCGAGAGGATCGAAAGCGTTAGGGCTCTCCTTCTCTCCTCACAGGAGAAGATCTACGGCCGGTTGAGTAATTGCTCGAGTGATGCGGTGGTAGCGCCCCGGAATGTGCTGGTGAAGGGCAGCGGGAAGAGAGACGATGATGATGATGATGATGGCTCTTGCACGTTAACTGATGTTTTGGATCAGTTGGTGGATACGTTGGAGTGTGTGCTGAGCTTTGCGACGGGCTTGTTGGAGACGATTCTTGATGGGGTTTTTGATTTGTTGAAGGATGTTATTGAGGGGGTGGAGAAGTTGTTGTAGTGTTTTTGTGTTCTCGCAGGTGGGGGGACTTGAAAGAAGAGTTGGTGCTGTATAATTAGTTATAGGAGGGGGGCTTCGACGCTTATCGGGGAAATGGATCCTTTGCTGGATCGTGTCGTGTTGCGAAATACCCATTTATAGTACTTCATCTAATTCGTCAAGGATAGTCATGACTCTACTTAATGAAGCCTGTCCCTGTTAGTCTGAGGAGAGGTTGTAAGATTTGCATGAAAGTATATACATGATTGTTATATCACAATGGCGCTTCTAATGTAAGCACCCCGTCCAATATTGAGTCCGGATTCGCGTACTCAAGCACTTGCGACACAGCGTGCAAGTCACTCCCGTACTGTAGGCTTCTATCCTCTTCGGGTTTGGCCACGATGATCCGATGTCGAAAGACCTTTCTGGCTGCTAGTGCTACGATTGAAGGCGTGAGGAAGTCGATGCCGTGTAATACGGCGAGGAGTCTGTGTTGTAATCAGTACTTTGCTTTGGCATGCGGGGAATGAATTGGATTATCTCACTTTGAAAATGACTTGAAGTAGAGGTTAGACCGTGTGGATATCCCCCCAGCTACTGCGCGACTGAGCCGAAGGAACACAACTATGTCTTGTTGGTACCGGGCTAATTCGGCGCCCATGCTGACGGTGGTGCTTAGTTGTTCTAGTTGTTCAAGGAGCTGGTTGTTATGTTCTTGTTAGTGGGAGTTGGTTTGATGACCAAGGTAGGAGGGGGGACAAACCGTGATATCTACATGAGGATGTCCTTTCTTCGTTTGAGCTTCTGGCTTGTGGATGACGGATGATGCGGACATTTGGCCATCGGATAGCCAGTCATTAGTTTCTTCGAGGTAGACATAGCCGTCTTCTGTGTCGTGGAAATGAGAGATGAACAGGTAGTCGTTCTAAGTGAGGTCAGTTCACTGAGTGATGGTATCTACCGGTGGCAGACATACTAGATGAGAGTTTAATGGCGGGGTTTCATCGCGCACTATAAGAGGTAGGAACAGAAAATAGGTTGGGACTTCCAAGATTCCTGCCGGTGTGGTGAGTTGCTTCGAGTGCATCAACTGTATGTGTCAGTCAAAATCTCATCAGTATCTAGAGGTAATCCTGTTTACCTCGAGAGCTTCGCGCTGGATATTGTCGTCCACATGATTGAAGTGCTTAGCTATTACAACATTGACGACTTTCTGCTTGTGCCCGATAGGGGCTGACTTGAGGCGTCCTTTGTGATCTCGCAGGTCATGATATGAGGATAGAGTGCCCGTCTTATCTTATTAGCCTAGCAATAAAGTCGAGCACAACAGTCGAATTGACATACCGACTCAGTGGTCATTCGTGAGCGCGAAGGCCGAGCATAACTGCTCCTGTAAAGCCCGGGAGGAAGTAATTCAGCACGAAAGTCTTCTAAAGATGTAGCACTAGAGCAATCAAGAATGCTATAAGAGAGACCAAATGTATTTGTGCATATCTGAACGAGGCATTAGTAACATAGTAGATCATATCACGGGATGCTGAATTACCAGGGCGAGCTCCTTTGCGACGTCATGAATATTAGCGTCATTTGTGTCAATGCGACAGTGTTGGTGTGCCGCAAGACAAAGAAAGAGAGCTACTTCAAGATCAGATAATTCAGGGGCGAGTCTTGAGATTTCCGAGCCATCCTCCATGATGGTACTGTCGTGCAATTTACAGTCATGATGGCAGCTGAGGATAGTCCATGAATAATTACCCGCGCGATACATGGTCAGCCACCTCAGGCACTATATCCCAATGCGGTTAGTGCCGGAGACCCGTCCGCATGTGAGCTCCAGGAGCTTCCCGATAGACAACAACATCCGGCTGGAGGGTCTTATCCCAGCACTATCTCCATCGGATCTGTATCGCTTCCCATCTATACATGACATTGCTCGGTGTCAATGGCGCCGTCAAATCCTCTGGCCAATTGGGAGAGGCTAGGAGATAGCTTCTACCGGAAGGTCCCCATATACGATGCCATCTTCGACGATGATGTCGAATTAGAGAACTACATCATCGCTGGCGCTCCCTACGGAGGGGCTATTGGTATGTGCAAATATTTGCACTATTATCTGGCTCTTAATGTACTGACATATTTCAGCGCTGCACCGCGATGAGAGCAAACCGTACAGGTTCCGTGATGCTCAGACCGCCAAATCGAGCATTGACATTTACTCATGCTCGGGGAAGCACATCAATCGAATCAATGTCAGTCAGCTATTGATTTCACGTAGGCACTTTCTAACATCTGTAGTGGGAATACGGCACGATTCGTGGTCTCGGCTGGTCCGACAAGGAAGAACTCCTGGTGATCACGGAAGATGGCACCGTCAGACGCTATTTTGGCCTCCATGGCGACTTCACCTCATTTTCTTTAGGAAATGTAACACTCCCACCCGCATTCTGCTCTGCTGAAACTGACATCCGCTTAGGGAGCTGAAGACTACGGTGTAAGAGCTTGCCGATTCTGGACCTCGGGCTTTGTTGCCCTGCTCTCAAACAACCAACTGGTTGCAGTGTCGAATTACGACGAGCCGCGGCCTAGGCTCCTAGCTCCTTGCCCAGAAGGAGAAGTCTCGTCGTGGTCACTTATACCTCCGGCTTACACGTTGTCTCGCTCAGTTGAAGTCCTGCTTGCCGTTGACAAGACGGTCTACTTGGTCGACCCCACCGAAGCCGAAGACAAAGTTCTTCAAAATGGGCCGTTCAAGCATGCAAGCGTGTCGCCAACCGGAAGATTTGTTGCACTAATCACCGCCGAGGGCAAGGTATGGGTAGTCAGCAGTGACTTCCAAAGCAAGTACAGCGAATATGACCCAGAATCGCGAGTCACTCCTCGGACAGTCGACTGGTGCGGAGATGATGCCGTTGTCATCGCTTGGGAAGACGAGGTACATCTCATCGGGCCTAATGGCGTTGCGGCGAGATATTACTATGATGGCACTGTCCATGTCGTGCCTGAGTTTGATGGTGTGCGTCTGATTACCAACGACACCTGCGAGTTCCTGCACAAAGTTGTTGGTAAGTGATTTACGTTTACTTTAGGAACAAACATCTGATGGTTTGCAAGATGTCACCGAGGCGATCTTCCGGCTTGGATCTACGTCACCCGCCTCGGTCCTCCTGGACTCTATAGATCTTCTGGAGAAGAAGTCGCCCAAAGCCGACGAAAACATTCAACGTATCCGGCCGAGTTTGCCCGAGGCGGTTGACACCTGTGTCAAAGCTGCTGGTCATGAGTTTGACACATATTGGCAGAAGCGCCTGTTAAAGGCAGCCTCGTTCGGAAAGTCTGTTCTTGATTTGTACAACAGCGATGAATTTGTCGAAATGACTGAGAAACTCCGGGTGCTGAAAGCAGTGCGAGACTATCAGATAGGACTGCCGCTTTCCTATGAGCAATACATGCGTCTTACGCCTGAAAGGCTTATCGAGCGATTGGTAAACAGGCATGAATACCTGCTTGCGATCCGCATTTCGGAATACCTTGAGCTTCCCGCCGATAGGATATACGTTCATTGGGCAAGCCAAAAGGTCAAAGTCTCCACGGTGGACGATGATGCCCTCTGCAAGCTCATCGTCCAGCGACTGGAAGGCAAGCCAGGCATATCCTTTGAGTTGATCGCGCAAACAGCTTACGATGAAGGACGTGCACACTTGGCAACTCAGCTGCTGAACCACGAACCAAGAGCTGGGAAGCAAGTGCCCTTGCTTTTGGACATGGAAGAAGACGAAATTGCCTTGGATAAGGCCATCGAAAGTGGAGACGTTGATTTAGTGAACTACGTCCTTCTGCACCTTAAGACTAAACTACCGCTTGCCAGCTTCTTCAGAACGATAAACACACGCCCTATGGCGTCTGCCCTTGTCGAGACGACTGCCCGGGGACAGGACACCGAGTTGTTGAAGGACCTCTTCTACCAAGATGATCGGCCGATTGATGGCTCCAATGTCCTTCTCTCCGAGGCTTTGGACGCAACGGACCTGCCGCGCAAGACTGAGAAACTCCAGCTCGCATCACGACTACTGTCAGACTCGAAGGATCCTTCGGTGGTGTTACAGCAGAAACTACTAAACGAAGCATCCCAGTTGCTGAAGGTCCAGGAGGCCCTCGACAAAGACCTTGCGGATCGTTCAGAGTTTCTTGGCTTAAGCTTGAACGAGACAATCTACAGACTGATAAGATCAGGCTACGGAAAAAGAGCACAGAAGATACAGAGCGAGTTCAGGATGCCAGAGAAAACTTTCTGGTGGTTGAGATTAAGGGCCTTGGTAGCTAAGCGCGACTGGGGTGAGCTGGAAGAAATCGGGAAAAACAAAAAGTCCCCGATTGGGTGGGAGGTAAGTCGGCCAACAACCCCAGAATATGCGCCCGCATGCTCACGGATAAATAACAGCCATTTTATAACGAGATTTTGGGAGCTGGAAATACAAAGCTCGCTTCGTTATTTGTTCCCAAATGCACCAATTTGCCGGCTGAGGACAAGATGGAAATGTGGGTGAAATGCGGCATGATTGCGAAAGCCGGCGAAGAAGCCTTCAAGGCAAAGAATGTCAACGCCCTTGAGCTCCTCCAGGCGAGGGCTTCAGGACCAGCCGCCGTTGAGATCGAACGGATGATCAACCAGCTTAGACCGCGGAAGTAGATAGCTGGCGCAACCATGGCGGTATTTCCTTGGCAAGATAGACGTCCACGCATCAGGTGATATCATCGTCCACGTCAATGCCTTCGTGTTCCTCCACAACGGGAGCCTGAGTGACAGGGGCCGGCTTCGAACGTTTCGCTGGCTTAGAAGCCGCAGCATCGTCCATCATGGCATCGTCCATGTTATCGTCAGCCTCGTTGAGGGCTTCGAACATTGACTTCGTTTTACGGTTCAGATCCTCCCATTCGGCCTAGACACTCATTTCGTCAGAGATATTGACCAATCATGATGGAAAGTCTGGCGTCCTTACCCTACGAGCCTTGACGGATTTGGCGCGGCCCTCACTTTTAACGACCTTCTTCTCCAGCTGGTCCATCACGGCCTCTGCTCTTTCAACACCCTTTTGTTGTCTCAAGCGCTGCGCTCTAGTTTTAGCTTTGCCTTTTGACGATTTCTTCGAAACGCCTGCATTAGCGCGTTCCGATAGAATCGAATCCCGCTGTACTGTAGTTTCTTCGGCCCGCGGAAGAGATGTGATTGACTTGTCGACATCGAGACTGGGGGAAGCTGCCCGCCTCGCAGCGCGGGAATGTTTTGACTGGGCTAGACAGGAGCATTATGTTAGCATTAAACATGCATTTTTGAAGCAATAATCCTGTAAGAATAGCTGTACTCACGTCTAGATTTCGCCATGATTGATGCAGGGGAAATTTAGATTGGTATTTTCCTGCATGCCCGCAGGTGAATAATTTGTTGTGGAGCCGGGCATTATCGATAAAACCTTTCCGGGTGGCGGAAGACACCTGGAGCGCACTCGGCCGCTGCTTATTCTGCGACGCAACACTGGCTGCTCAAGTCGATCCAGTCGTCACTTCGCCAGACGTGGTCGTCGCCTCTTAACTGCTCTGCTAAGTGATGTCAATGTCCTCGTCCCTATGCCGTGGACTTTGCCTCCTTTTCATCAGCCATGAATGCTCGCAGAGAGGGGATTAACTTCCTCACTCCGAATCCCTTCAACGTGCAGCGCAGCAACTATGAAACAGTACTGCAGCAACTGCAGGGCAATCCATCCTTAGTTGCCTCTATATTAGTGACGCTCATCACTCTGTATTTCACCATCAGCTATTGGGGTCCAGCTTCGTTGTCGGTGGCTCGGATAGCCTGGAATATACTTGTCCATTTGACACCTTCTCGACTGATTGCCGCCCTGGATTCCCAGACACGGAAATCCGATACGACCGACGAGAACCCTCTTTCGATGACCTTTGAGGCCAAGAGTGAAGCGATGCAACGGATACTTGGCCTTGACGATACCTCCTTCTCCTCCCTCTTCCCTCGCGCCCCGGCTTTCTCGAGCTTCGGAACCTCTCTCTTAAGCAGCAAGAACAACGTACCGCCAGGGCTCGGAAACTGGGATAATTCGTGCTATCAGAATAGCATCATACAAGGACTGGCATCTCTCCAGTCGTTGGAGAAGTTTCTGGATCAGAATGTTGAGCAGCTAGGAGAGAAAGCCCTTATGTCCACCCATCAAGCTTTGAAGGATATCATAGAGCGACTCAATAGCGCAGACAGCAATGGCCAACGTCTGTGGACCCCGGCGGATCTTAAATCGATGAGCAGCTGGCAGCAGCAGGATGCACAGGAATACTTCTCGAAGATTGTTGATCAGTTGGATCTGGAAGTCCAGCAGGCGACTCGGCGACACACGCGCAATTTGGGCCTGAAGATGGCAGGACCGCAGGAGCATGTGATTGGGTCTGGTTCATCGCAGGAGCTACAAGAGAACAGTGGGGCGGAATCACGGTCAACTGGAAACCAGGTCTTTCGGAATCCGTTGGAAGGCCTTCTTGCGCAAAGAGTGGGCTGCATCCAGTGTGGTTGGACCGAAGGGCTCTCGCTCATTCCCTTCAACTGTTTGACCGTCCCGCTCGGTCCAAAGTTCGAGTACGACATCCGAGAGTGTCTCCATCATTACATGCATTTGGAGCCCATTGAGGGAGTGGAATGCGCAAAGTGCACTTTGTTGCGGGTACAGTCTCAGCTATTGAACCTGCTGAAGCAAATCGGCGATGATGAGGAGACTCCGAGTGCTACTCCGGAATCACCAAAACTATCAGATGCGCTTCGAAGCTCCGCACAGGAACGCTTACAGGCCGTTGAGCAAGCGTTGGGAGAGGAGGACTTTGCAGAGAAGACGCTCTCTCAGAAATGCCATATTCCCGGGAAGAATCGAGTGTCGACGACCAAGTCAAGACAGGCCGTGGTTGCCAGGCCCCCACAGTGCCTAGTAATTCACATCAACCGCAGCATGTTCGACGAAACTACAGGAATGCTCCGGAAGAATTACGCGGCCGTCAAGTTTCCCAATGCCCTTAACTTGAATCCGTGGTGCTTGGGCGGAGTTTCCAAAGGTGGGGAACCAAATCTTGAAGCCTGGGAGACCAATCCCAGCGTATCCATGCTCTCGCATGCAGGAAGAGGCGCAACTGCAGGTGGTCACTATCAGTTGCGTGCTGTGATCACCCATTACGGCCGTCATGAGAATGGCCATTACATATGTTACAGAAAATATCCAACCGACAGTTTCCCGGCCCACGTCCCCGACGCAATTATCGAGGCAGATGGAGACAAGGAGAGAGACGAGCGTTGGTACAGGCTAAGCGACGAAGACGTGCAGATGGTCAGCGAAGCGAGCGTCATGTCTCAGGGCGGTGCCTTCATGCTCTTCTACGAGGCGGTTGACGACTACTCCCCGGAGGCTGCAGAGGACGTGGATTCTGGCTTGGTGGAAGAGGGTTCTGCGCCTTCTTCTAGCTGCACGCCTTCGGAGACCATGTCCACAACATCTGCTGCCACAGGAGACTCCACATCCGATGTATCGCAAGCGACCAGCGTCTCAACGGCGTTAAATATTGAACCCCGGTTTGAGAAGTCCCTGCTTATGTCCGACGTTGATTGAGCCGCTTTGTCTCGATTGCCCAACCTTGCTCTGCCCGATTGTGTATATCAGCATTATATGATACCCCGAGTACGACTCTTTAGAAAGCGTTTAACCACATGTTCTTGGCTGTTTGCTCTACGTTTTGCTCTGGAATAATCGACGAGACGTTGAACACGGCTTTGTATAACACTGTATGTACTTGATATCTGATTATCGCTTTATAGCTAAAGTACACTATTTTTGGCACTCCATAACCGATCCTGTGTAATCCCAAGAAGCATGCCGTATGTCCCAACACCCTGTCCCAGATAGTAAATAACACCCCAGTAACCAGGAATAATCACATATCTAACGCCCGCTGAAATATGACCCAACCATCCCATATCCCCATCAAAAGATCCAAGGAAGACAATCAAAACACCCCGGCCCTAGTCATAACATCATGGAATTGCTCCAACGTAACCCCAGCATGCACCCCAGCCCCACCATTCGCCTCCAAAATCATATCCTTCAATAACTCATCCCCCAGCTCGTCCTCCTTCAACTCGCGCGCAATCCTCTTCAAATGATTAAACGTAATCAATCCCCCCGACCCCCTCGTAAACAACCGATACGCCGCATCCACCTCCGCCGCCATCGCATCATCAGACCTAGATCGTAGCTTCGCCGCCGCGACAGCAAGAAACGGCTCGTACAGCACGTACCCGGTATCCGTGGGGTCGACGGCCGAGATTATGGAGTGGAGTTCTTCGCTATCGGTGGGGTCGAGGCCGAGGGCTCTATTGTTGCACTGAGTTAGGGATTCTTTTCGTCGCAATGTGGATGTCTAGGGAAGGGGAACCGTACACTAAGGCTTTGCGCACATCACCGCGTGGGATCACGCCTTCTTTTTGGTCTGCGAATTCCTCGACGGTCTCGGAGAAGAGATGGAATACTTCTTTGATTTCGTTTTCCTCCGACGCGCTAATGTCGTTTTCTTTGGCGAGCTTGGATTGGCGTGCGCGTTTGGGCGCGGGGCCGCTGCTTGGGGCGCTGCGCTTTTTGGGGGGCTGGATGTGGTAATGGTGGTCAGCGCATTGGTTGAGGAGAGTGTGTACGTTCGATAAGACGATGGTGGCTTACCATGATAGCGATTGGTTATGTATGCTCTTTGGTATTGTGTAGGTAGATGTTAAGCTGTCGCAAACTGCGATGATGTCAAGGGAAAGGGTGGTTGGAGATGAGGCGCGGGGGCGGATGAGCCATGGACATTTGGTAGGCTGGTAAGGATCGGGGGTTGCCGATTTACATCGCACTGCCGTTGGGAGTCAGGATCGGGATGTTGACGACTCCGAGGAAGATGAGGTGAGAAGAAGATGGGTTGCTTCCATTGTCTTCGATTGCTGTGAATCTCGTGATGGCCGGCGGGCTGCTGACGTAACCCCGCGATGCCTGGAGCTTCTTCTTATTACTTCTTCAGCTGCGTTTGCGCCGGCGAGGATAACACTTCCCAGGAATCTCGGAGTTGCGATTCAGTCTTCCTGGTGCTTCCTCATACTTCGCAGCTTTGATTTGAAGACCTCTGTGTCAGCAGCCGTCGTCATGGATGTCGAGCTGTATGTCTATGACCTATCCAAGGTGATTTCCATAGCTTCACGTGTACATGTTTAGTCAAGGAGTCATGGGCTAATGCGGAATAGGGTCTTGCGGGAATGGTAGGACACGCATTGAATGTGGCAGAGTTGCCTCGTGTCTAACTTCGTCTAGTATTCGCTGGCCCTTACGGGAACGCAAATCGATGCCATCTACCACACATCGTTGGTGCTGAACGGCGTCGAGTATTACTTTGGCCAGGGCATCCAAACGGCTGTCCCCGGCAGTACTCATCATGGACAGCCCATGGAGAAGCTGCATCTTGGCAAGACCGAGCTCCCCATGGATGTGATCGAAGAATACATCCAGTCGCTTGCGGAAATCTACACCCCTGAGGTAAGAGCCCGTATCCCCAGCCCGGTCATCTCTCTAACCTGGCCGTCCAGTCCTACGACCTCTTCCTGCACAACTGCAACAACTTCACGCAGGATCTGGCCATGTTTGCTCTCGGCAAAGGCATTCCTGAGCATATTCAAAATCTGCCGCAGACCTTCCTGAGCACCCCTTTTGGGCAAATGATGAAGCCCCAGATCGAAATGGCCCTGCGCGGTGTAACCCAAGGCACTGGCACTGGCACATTCGGCACTCAAACTCCCACCACCAGCGCACCAACCGCCCCTGCGCAACCTGCCCCCGTTACTCAAGGTTCCGTGCGCATCGCAAGCAATCTCGCCCAGCTCGAGCACCACCTAGCTGCCGCCGCCGACTCATGCGCCGTCATCTTCTTCACCTCGGCCACCTGTCCGCCCTGCAAAATGGTCTACCCGACGTACGACGAACTCGCCGAGGAAGTAGGCGCCAAAGCCACCCTCATCAAAGTCGACATCAGTACTGCCATGGACGTCAGCATGAAATACAGCGTCCGAGCAACCCCAACCTTCATGACCTTCCTGAAGGGCCAGAAGCTCGATGAATGGTCCGGCGCCAACCCAGCCCAGCTACGAGGCAACGTCCGTCTCCTTCTGGAAATGGCCCATCCTCCCCATCGTCACCAGCAACTCCGTCTTCCCAGCCTCCAACGCCCCATCTCCAACTATGTTACCTACAAGAAAGTACCCCCTCTTGACAAGCTCGTCCAGAAACTCAGCCCTCACCACGAAGACCCCCGCCTCCTCTCCATGATCACCTACCTGAAACACCGCACCTCTTCTTCCACCCCAGCAGCAGACACCCCCTTACCCCAAGACCTCCCAACCTTCGCCACCTACCTACAAAGCACCTACAGCTCTCTAGCCCTAGACCATCTATTCGCTCTCGTCGACCTCACCCGCCTGCTCTTCCTCGACCCCCGCGTATCCAGCTACTTTGCCGAAGAGCCCGACCACAAGACCCTCCTCACTCTTTTAACCCCATCTGCTGGCCTCTCTAAATGCCCCTACAACCTCCGCATCGTCATGCTCCAACTCTGCTGCACCCTCTTCTCCACCCCTCTCTACCGCGACCAACTCACTACCTCCTCTTCTCTCCTCCCAACCCTCCTCCACCTCACCACCTCCTCCCTCCTCGACTCCCACACTAACCTCCGCGTCGTCGCCGCCTCCCTCGCCTACAACCTCGCCGCGCTTAACCACAACGCCCGCTTCGCCGGCCACACCGACCCCCTGTCCGAGGAAAACCAAGTCGAGCTGACCGCGTCGCTTGTGGAAGCCATCACCCAGGAAGAAGAGAGCCAGGAGGCTCTCCACGGGCTTCTCTTCGCTCTGGGACTGCTTGTCTACGAAGCTAATCCTGACAGCGCGGTCGTGGATCTCTGCAAGGCCATGGGGATTGCAGAGACGGTAGTCGCAAAGAAGAATGTGTCGGGTGTAGCGAAGGAGCCGTTGATCAAGGAAGTGGGAGAGGAGTTGTTGACGAGGGGGTTATAGAATACTTACCACATAACTAATACTCAGGTTTGACTATTCCTATACATGGCTTAGATGGATAGTTGGAATATCGCTTAATAGATGATGTACTGTATTCCTTACATTACTTGAATCAATTGATCTCTAGTACTGCTGCATACCCTTCACCCTCATCCTGTTACTGTATCCTATCCTACCGGTATCCTGCACCATACACATCCTCCAACCAACACAAGTATATCCCTCATCTCATCTCATCTCATCATCCCATCCACCCAATTCACAGTATCATTCCAAATCTCTGACCCCCTCAGCCCCACCCTCAAAAAAGCCTCAACAAAACCCCTCACTCACTCACTCACTCACTCAGTCATCACCGATAGAATAGACTACAACCAATAATTGCCTGACATCAGCACCGCCATAAAAACGAGGGGTAATGGCATAAAAATCAATAGTTTCCTTCCATCAACAGTGTCTCGTGATGAGTGACACCTCCAGCACAGATCAACAACCGACCATAGTCATAAAATAAGTACCTTACATAAAAACAAAGCATTCAACACTACTAATGTCTGACACTAGTACCATGAAAGGATAAGTAGGTACCAATTGTGTGGTTAGGTAGATGGTGGCTGGCTGGCTGATGGTAGTTAAAAAAAGGAATTATACTGCTACTGCTGTATGTGCTGCCTAGCTTTGCTTTTGTTTTGTCTGCTCTAAGAGCGGGGATATGTAGTACTCAGCTGTTACAGGAGTCGCTAGTTACTAGTGTTTATCTACTAGGATGTTCGATGTCGAACTAATGGGAGTTGCGTCGGATATAGCCGTGCAGGTACTTGTGTCATCTGTTCAGGTGGGATCGTGGGTCGGATAGTCTGGTAGTCATTACAGCTAGAATGGTATAGGATGGGATCTATTATAGTAGGATAATATTAATGTGTTATCAGACCACTTCATTTTCGGTGGTTATTGTTCATTGATTCGTTCATTCACATGGTGAATGTAGTTAAGTATTACCATACTAAATAGGAAATGGAAAGACAATCAAGTAGTGAAACAAAGGCCATCGCTGCATGAATTAATGGGGTATGTCGCTGAGCTATGCAATATGCAATCCATCTAAAGTAACGCGGGAGCTGTTCTGTGTAACACGCTCGGGGTATGAGAATGAAGGGGAAAATGAAACAAGGAAGCGCCAGGAAACAACATGATGACATACAAGACGGGGTATCTGAACATCCGACGCTGAAAAACAAAAAGAAAAGTGACAAAAGAAAGGGGCAATAATTAGATCGGAAATCGCGAGTAAGAAAGAAAAAAAGCAAAACCGCTGACGAGACCCCAGCTGAGGGGGCATCTGGGTCTGGTATCCCGAAATGTTGCTAAATCCATGACCACCAACACCGACGCGACAACGCATGAAACGGAACAATAATTAGGAAAGTAAAGAAATCCGGTTGACAAGAGGGGAAAGAAAAGAAACCGGAGAGACAAAGAACCACAAGCAAGGAAAGACACAGTGCGCAACGTGAAGCGAGTATCCAAGCGCGTGCCATGACCCTTTGGGCCAGCATGATCGGAGTGAGTCACCATCCGTAGGGGAAGGGAATGCGATCAGAGCGTGCCCTGACAATGGCGGTGAGATTGTGAAGAATGATAGGCAGCAGAGGGCCCTGTCCAGCGTGCAGCAGCAGCAGCAGCCAGAGAGGGGAATGTTCCCCAATTTCCATCAAATGCGCCGGCTGCGACAGGGAAATTAGGTAATCAGGCAGCCAAGCTCGGGCACCAAATCAGAGGCCGCGAAGACGCAACTCCGGCCTGCCAATTCCGCCCGGCTACGGCGCCTACCAACTATCTCTCCTCGCTTCGTCTCCCACTCCTTCGTCGCACGTGCACCCTCTGTCGTCATATTCCCCCGGTCCCATGCCCGATCATGCTAATTCATGGCCCTGTTCTTGAAAGTCCGAGCCTTGTGATGTCTCGACCTCCCAAGCATCAGTGCCAGAAGTGTGTCATTGTGGCGGGGACCTTGACTGATTGCTTTTGTCGGCAACCACTCAAGTCGGGGGCTTCCCAAAAAGGGAAATAAGAAGGATAGGATAGTTGTAAGAAGAAAAAAGTAAAAAAGAAAGCAACCAGATAGACGTGTTGGTCGCATTTCTGGACAGCTGAGCTGGAGACAGATCGGCGTCGATCATTCGACAACCCTAATCTCCGGCTAAATCGGACCAAAATGTTGGCGTGGGGTGACGAAGTCGTGGGGTATCATGACATGCGCAAGTAGATGGTATGGCGTATTGGTGTCACAACGAAGGAAAAAGTAAAGAGAAGATGACACCCTTTTCGGTGTCTCTTAGGCGCGACAGACGGTGGCTTTCGAAGCTGATGCGGTCCGCCGCTTCCTCTCGGGGATGGCCTTGCGCTTCTTGCGCTTTGCGTTCTCGCGCTCTGCCGCTGCCATCTGTGCCACCCGCATGGCCTGCTGTGCTCTCGCATGGGCCTGCACCTGAGCAAGGAAACGCGCGCGCTGCGCTTCTTCTTCCGCTGCGGCGCGAATCATCTGGATCTGCTGCTCGGTGGTCAGGTCAACGTCTCCCATGGTCGGATCCTGCGCGGCGGATTCTTCGTCGATCGCACTCTCGCAGGGGGATCCAGAGCCGATGGGGAGGAGATCTTCGTCGGAAAGGTAGGCGCTGGCGGTGGAGCCCTCTGAGTCTGCACTCAGCAGAGAAGGGCGGTTGGGCCAAGATGGGAATGCGCACGAGTTGTTCATCTCATAACCGCTGGAAAAGGAGCACTTGCGAGGAGTGATGTCGAGCAAAGAATCAGTGGGAGAAGGTGGTGGGGGAGGCGGCATCGAAGTAGGTGAGCAAGAGCTGCCGAAGCTGAAGCTGAAGGAGACATTCTGAGTGCTAGTGGTGGCCTCGCTCAGAGAGGAGCGAACACTAGACTGGTTCTGACTCCAGGGAAGAAAGGGATACATGGTGAGAAGAGGTGTTATCAGTAGTAAGTGGTGGTAGTAGTAGTAGGTGTAGTAGGTGGTAGTAATGGGAGTGAATCTCGGTGTTGTCCAGAGCGATGCAAGAAGTATAAGTAGTATGACTACTAGTACTAGCTCTGTGACAGTAGTTTGATGAGTGGAGGTGAAGAAGATCGACACGGTCTGGGGAGGTCAAGACCCAAGAGATGAGAGGGGAGGAGTGGGAAGTCAGATAAATAAATAAGCTTGGAGAGGAGTATCTGGGGATTGACGCTGATCAAGGAACACTCCACCGGTGGATCAAATGGCGGAGAGAGGGAAATGAGGTGAATGTATAAATGGAAGAAGGGCCAGATCGATCGGGGGAGGCGTCTGGACTCCCTTGCATCTCCCAACAGATAAGGCGTCGTGGAGAACGAAGAAGGAGGTGTGGAGTGGGGGGTTGGCAGCAAATCCGATTTTTTTCCCTCTTCGGATTTATTTAATTCGATTTATTCAATTTTCTGAAAATCAGAAAATCAAAAAATCGAAAATCGAATTTCTTTTTTTTTGGAAGTAAGAAATTCCCTTGTTTGGGTTGCGCGCGTCGCCCCACTGGGGGAATTACCAGTCACCAGCCCGACAAAGCGGCCAGAAATCACTTGGAATTTTCCGCAATGCTGGCCTGAAAGCAAAGCATCCACTGGTAATCCTGCGTGTCAAGCGCGGCGATCAGGCGGAAGGGGCGTTCCGGTCGCTGTACGATGGATGAAGCAGCAATCAAAGTGGTTGGACACGAGAGAGCAAGTACTACTACCACTGGAGTATAGTAGTAGTAGTAATGGTAGGTAGGTGGTAAACAAGTTGATGTGTATGTGTGGAAAATGTGTGGAGGTATGTTGATGATGTCGGTGATGTCGGTGATGTCGCGGCGGTATGTCAATCACAGTAGAAAGTACCAAGTGGCTTAGTACTAGTATTGTTTACTGTGATCAGTAGTAGGTAGAGTAGATAGTAGTAGTGGTGAATGGTACTATTGTCAAAAGTGATAGATGTTCGAGTTGATCAGTCCAGTGCGATGTAGCAACGAACTCCTGAAACCCATCATCGGACCAGGGACTAAAGGTACATATTTATCTATTATTATGATTTATTCCCATCGGGTGGATTCGACCCTAATCTGACAGCCAGACCCCCGGTCCAGGGCGTGGATCTATCGGCTTTCTTTTGTTCTTCCATTTTAATTTAATTTCTGGGCGGATTTGCTCGCTCCTCCGGTCCGCGGCCCGGGGAGCTTCGGATTGGGGGGGCGCGAGAAAAGGGAAAAGGGAAAAAAGGGTAAAGGAACAGGCGTGGGGATGGATCAAGTGTCAAAGAATGAGTCAACTTAATCCACTGCTCCCTCCGATTTCTCCCACGACTCCGGACTTCCCATCAGTGGCACCTCCGTAACTGATTCTTTGGTTCGTCCGACCCCAGATTTATTGGCATTTTGCCAAGTGCAGAATAATACCAGAGTAGAGATTATACAACTGGGTGCAGTGTACGGAGTAGTTGCTACATTGTAGATACTTGCATTGTCAATATCATCATCTTAGTAGTATTAGTAGTAGTATTAGTTACTGTAGTAGTCCAAGGCTGACATGATACGGGTCCGGTAAATATTCCCCCATACCCGACCGAAGTGACTGACTGACAGTGGGGGCTCATCATTCATCCATCCTTCTATTTGATGTTGTTTTTTCGGCGGCTGACGATATTAATTTAAATGAGAAACATCGCCTCAATCTGAATTACTCCGTCTGCCCCCAATATTGATTGATTATTATTTTTCGGGCGGATGTTTCATACTTCCAACCTGGCAGGCAGGCTGTACACCGTAAGATAATCAACTAAATTATTATTCACAACCCCGCCCTGCTGTCTCCTCCGCTACGTAAACACCACCAGGAGTAAGTCAAGTACAGAGTTACAGTAGCCGACACGAAAATCAAGAAAAAACGCTTTGATCCGCGATATCCTCAGCACAAAGCGACAGGCGGTGTTGGGTTCTCGTGCATCTCGCAACGGGTTCTTGCGGTCTGTGTAGTTTACCAGGTTATCAGCCATCTGTCGGTCAGTCCAACGAAGCATTCAGACCAATCCCCCCTTCCCCTCCCTGCAGCCAATGTACAGCATCATCATCAACTCCCCCCTAATTCCGCGACCGAATCAGCACGCTCTGACCTCACCGCTTCAGTCTGTTGTTTGGCATCTTCGCAGCAACTAACACCACAGCATGCTTCCGATGGATGTCGACATACATCCGCCCGTCTGTATGAGTATGCAAGTATGTATATACATCTGGCGATAACGGTAGTAAGCATGTACTATGTGGGTAAAAGGGAAAAGTAAGATAGTAATTAACTAGTGAGCACCGGCACTGCTTAGGGTCCAAGTGACTCAGATGGTTTCAAATGCGTTTAGGCTTTTTGCATCTCGCGTTGGTTTTACAACTCATCCCATCCCTCCCCTCCCCTCCCTCTTCAACATCCTTCTAACATGGGTTCCTTCTTGGGGGGTGCGGTGGTGGTCTGGCGGTCAGGCAGGCAAACACCCGGGCGGGCGCCTCAGAAATTGGCTGAGACGGACATGGACATGGGATTGTTGGCACTGCTGGATTCTCGAGGCAAACAAGACGAGGATTGATTGGGTTTCCTTTTTCTGGTGACATCTGATTATTGTTATCAGCTCGTGCCGCGATACCAGCGTACATAAAAAAAAAAGGCAAAAATAAGCAAGCAAAGGAAAAGGAAATAAAGTAATTCGATAATGGGTCATTGAGTACCACATATCTGCCCCCAGGGAAGCAAAGTAAAGTAGTCGGGTACCTAATCCATGCGCGGTATCCGCGGTGGATCCCGGGTATTCCCTTATGCCCTGCTACCTTACTCCGGCTGTGTATGTCCACTTCTCCATCAGAAACCGATAGGAAAGTCGCTACACTCTACAATACACTTCACAAAATGATAGACCCTACAGTAAGTATCCCCTTAAACAATAGGCGGCGCACAACTTCTTATTTCAACATTTCAACCATGGAACCTATTTTGCACGGATCCGACCCCGGATCCGTTGCTGTCAAGTTGTTTCGTGTTCGGGGGACAGTTGTGTTCCCTGGGACGACCCAGAGTACATAGACGTGTGGTTCCCCGTTCAACAATCCACCCATCCCCGCGACCCACGCGTTTCTACCGAGATACTACAGTACTTACTTATCACCCTTCTTTACCCCGGACGTTGTGTACCACCGCCAAGCCCATTTATCCGCTCCGTAATCCTTACTCCTTCGGACCCGCGTAGGGACTTACAATTCGTATCGTAAATAGTTATCTACTGGCATCAATAGAATCAAAGTCAGCTGTGCCTGCCCCCAATCTGATCTGACGGGCCGCACCACCCCCAGATTCCATCCACTGTCTGAGTTGTCGCGGTCTGCCCTGTCCTGCCCTGCCTTGCTCTGCCCTGCCCCCCGTACAGCCAGTAAGTTGGGGGAGGCGAAGCAGTAACGGCCCCCCCATGCCTCCTCCCTTTTCCTCCCTCTCATCGGCAGTTGTCCGTTTCAGCCCGCGAACTAGTCACATCGACTGAAAATAGCTAGACCAGGCAACTCTTTGAAAGAAATCAACAACAACGGGAATATACTTCTTTCGGCTAAGTACATTTTCAAATCCAACAGCCACCTAAACTACTGTAGGCAAAAGAATGATTTTACTCTTTGTGTTGAGTCCAGGCCTAGCTGATGAAGATCACTAGTTACTAGTAGTACTACTTCTCCGACCGTCGTGCTTTGTTAAGAGTCGAGAGGCGAAATGCACGGTTAATCTAGGCGGGTAGTTTTTAGCCTTGCCGGGCGGGATGGTGCCTCGGCATCTGGGGGGCTTTGGATTTATCCACCACTTCCCTAGTTACTATACTAGTATTTCCCTTCCTTTGTTCAGGTAGTACTTTGTAGTAGTAGTAGTAGTCTAGTTCTGACAAGGCACACGCAGGGCTGGATCGCTGGCTATCTTGTGATCAGCCGAGTGTTTTGTTGTTGATGACTGACTAGTTGTACAGGGGACAGCGTGTTTCAGAGTTGGGGCTGGATGGATGAATGGATGGCATTGTGTATGCAGTGTGCATCGAGTACTACAGTAGTACTTAGTGGTACTATATTTATTGCACAACGAATGAATGGATGAATGACTCGATGCGATGCATACCTACGGAGTACATATGCTGGCATGCAGTATGTGTTTGAAAGAGAGAGAGATATATATATATCAAACAAGCGGAGTGTGCTTTATCAATTCTGGGTCGCGATTAATCAATCATTATGCAATGCAGACTACTAAATTCATACAGTGTACTTTGTACTACTTTGTTGGATGTAGTGGACCTGAACGAATGATCTAATTCTAGACTTCTTTGCATATGTACCCCTGGAACTAGATAATAGTCGCGCCAAACAAATCCACTAAATTATGATCCCAGCTAGTCACCAACAAAACCTACTACCTTTGTGTGAAGTACGTTGGCCGATGGTTTGTCTCAGTTCAGCTCCACAACTAGTAACAAACATGATGCAGTGTGAAAAGCATCAAACTGACACAACTGATCATCCCAGACAAAGTACGAGTGCGATGCTAAGTAAATTATCATCACGAGCACACCAACACCATGCCCAGAACGCCTACTACTAATAATGATAATGAAGATGTGATTCATTTCTTTCTTTCTGAAATAACATACGCTTTGACCGACCGGGCACCAGCCATCACAAGCCATCACAAGCACACTAGTTATTTGACCGTCTTGAATGGCTTCATCTTGTGGTGGTTGCAACTGCTGCTGCTAGTACTACCGGTGCTGATTGGCGCTATCAGGTGGACAATGAAACGGCCCAGCGGGACTGATTGAACTGTGACAAGAAAGCCTGGCCTGTCAGTCAGTCCGTCAGTTGACGAGTAACATGGCCCCGACCGGGTGATTGGGAGCAACACACCCGATGCCGGCGCCCAGACCTCGGTTGCTAAAGAGGGTTCATCCATTTCCTTTGAACCTGACTGACGGGTAAATGAAAAGGTACTAACCAACCCGTCGACGGCTCTAGACCGTCGGCCCTAATTTCCCCGAGGGCAAATGATCAGATAGAAGTAGATCAATGATAGTCCACGATCAGTCAGTCACTCAGTCAATAGTCTGCTCATGCACAACTGCTTTTCTTTCACTCGCGGGAGTGCGGAACCCGCCTCCGATGAATGATCGAACCGCCGTGCTGGATTGGAGGGTCTCCACCGCCCCAGCGATCGTCCCTTTTGGGACAGAGTAAAAAGTAAATAATGAAAAGTTTTTTCCTCTTTTGGGACGAGGATCGTCTCTTCCCAATGCGGTAGCTTTCTGAGCTCCCCGCCAACCCAAAGTACTACTTCCGTATTTGCTCCCCCTCGCGGCCCTTTAAGACTCATCAACTGCACTATTTCGGAGAACACGACGCGGGTAGACCCGCGGAACCGCGGTACGAACTGCCGGACCAGGACTGGAGCAGTGGAGAGATCATGGGGAGGAACTTTTGCCCCCTTTTTGCTTTTGGGGAAAGTATCGCAGGTTCTTCAGGGTGCACCGTGAGCCGGACATCTCCCCCCGGCCCCGGTGGCTGCAGTAGTTCGCCGCGGGTGGAAGTCAAGCAGGAAAGTACTGGATACCTTCAGCTGGTCCTGAAGATACATCTACTCACTTTGAATGGATCATCTCGATGAAGGAGGATGATGACGACAATGATGACTATCTCTCCATAGCTCTCGGTGCATGTGCATTCCACTCCAGCTGCACATTTCCTAGATTGTGTACAGCTTACTTACGTATGCACTTGCATACATAAGTACATTCCCGAATACTTCCTGGTCTCCTGAACCAGAAGTACTCCGGATCCCACTCTGGGGTACACCTGTACTTTACTTATCGACTTACTTTGCCAGTTCTCCACCCAGGCACATCCGCGTATGCAAGCCTAACATTCCAGACTGTCCCCGACTTTGGGTACTGCAAAATGCAAAATGCATTTCCGATCGAGGCGATCTGTCCAACTGATTGGTGCTGACCCCCTTGTCCATCGTCATCCCATGATCCCGGATACCCTCCTGCATTTTCCACCCACCCACAGCTCTTCATGCAAGGCATGCTCCCAGCTTACGTGGTGATGCCTCGGTGCTACCCCTCCATGAGCGGTGTTTTGCACTGTTCCCTCCCTCCTACCACCACCACCTTGCTAATCTGCGGTACTGCGTCTGCAGGGACTGTCAAAGCTCCCAAACAGCGGTGATTCACCGCTTCCCCCGTTATTGGTTCTCATGATGCCATGCCATCGGTTTCGTTGGTCGGGCGAAACGATCAACCTTTGTGGTGTTTGTTATCGATCTAGCGCTTGGGTTGGACTACCTTAGGCATCTGGAAATTGATGCATCCATTCATGGTGGTTTCGTCTTGATTGGGAATCGGGACTTTTGCATCGCCGACCGGGGGAAGGGGGTGCCCTCTCCATCCCTCAATTATGAATGAAACATTGGAAAGGCACTAGAAGCTAGGACTGAAGATCCAGGAGCGTGGTCTTGGACTCCTCACAACGCACACCCTGGCTGCCCCGCCCACGGCCTTGCGCGGAGTTTAAAGGTACCACTTGCTCCCCGGAGTATCTGGGGATGGAGAAAGCACATACCACACCGTCCGGGGAGGACCACATTTGCTGCACCACATTCTGGACGGGGAATGGGTCCCGGAGCACGGATTGAGAAATAAGGTGTACTCCTCGCAGCGGATGTAGCAGACGGATGCCTGGCTGTGGTTCCGTCTGCACTGGGTTCCCGGTTTGGCAACTAGAGCTACCCAGCTTGGGGATCCACGACCCTGCGACGGGTCTTTCTGAGCAGTCCGGAAACAACTTCCCCGGTTGATCCTCGACCTGTGGCTCGCACGGGGGGAGACCGATCATATGTGTGGCGTCGCATTTGGAATGTGTGGTATATTTATCTGGCTACATACAGAGTGAGGCGAGGTATGTGGCGAGGGTGAGCGGGGACAGGTGGCTTGAGTTGACATACACAGTGATACTATGCTTGGAACTGATCTCCGGATAGGGCCGTCTCCAGAGGTCAAAGGGAGGTACTATCGACATGACGGCACGGAGTCCATGCGCTCGGTTGAGTCAGTCTGTCACTATACCTTGTCTCGTTTCGTTCTATTCCCGCCACCTGCGACATAATCGGCAACTCCGCAGTTAAACAGGTTTATTGTTGGTGGGCGTCGTCATTTACTGCTGTTGACACCAGAGTTATCCTTTCCCTCACGTCCATCTGACCACGACTATCAAGCTTACGATAGCGTTCAATATCGGCATGCGCTCGTTGTTCCATGCAGCGACCGACCGCTTAATCTCTACAGGAGTCGTCCTACGCGGGAGGTCTGTAGACAAGGCCATTATACTCCGTCTGGTTACGAAAGTGAGGTTGGACGGTGCAACGTGCGGGCGGGCAGTGCTTGCGCTGACGTTTCATTCTCGATCATCTACACGGACACGCGGAGACGCCGCGGATTGCGATCCCCAGATGGGGAAGGCCGTACGGGTCAGCAGGTAATCACTCGCGTGTTACACGGAGAGCATGAGTAGCATGAGTAGGAGTCGTATTATTGGAGCCTCATCGCAGAGCCGCGATGAAAGCATCACTCTTTTGCTCGATTCGTTTGCTGAGACCTCGTAACGCTTTCAGCCTTGTGGAAATGATGCTAGGGTTCCATCGGGTATGATAGCGGTCGGAGTTTATTGAGAATGATGATGATGACGATGATGATGATGATGGACACGTTGACATGGATTCATCCACATTTACCCCATATTTCTGGCACGTCGCTTGACACCGATCATCTTGACAGCTGCTACTACTACCTCGGGGTGGCAAATACGCCAAGGGCGGTTAAGATATACTCGTGATTGTGACTGTAGTCTTCATGTTTACTATCTCGGTTATATTCACACACGGCAGTAAATGGATATAATTAGCCACGGCATAGTACTCCGTAATCAGATTTGGCATGTACACCGTAAATAAGTATGCCATGCTAAGCCACTTCATCCCATTCATTACAAATCGATAAATATATTTACCCTCGCACAAGATAATAGCCACAAACCCACCGTCCGTCGGCCATGTAACCACCGAATTACTCTAACTAGAATGGGAGGTGGTGACACAGCAGTTGAATGTAGTACTTCTTTGGATATTCTATAAGTATTAAATATTTAACTAGTTGAATAGTTGTTCTTAATCCACTACAAATAAACAATGAATGACTCAATGAATGATTAGAAATTCTAGATAAGCACATACATACATACATACTAAAAGCCTTATCGTACAACCGGACATCCCCGTCATCATGATGACGATAAAGATAATAAAAATGATAATAAAAATAATACTATTCATCCCACATTGACACGGACGGGTAGCAAACCAGTAGAGTATAGTAGTGTGTGTTCTGGAACGTTTCCACGCAGTGGTTGATTAGAAATACCATCATCTATTTTCCTGGTTTAATATCTTGATTTATGGTGATATTAATATTATCAATAGTATTTATATTTCCATCCCTGTCATATTATAACTAACTAACCCATAATATTATTATTCAGATTGTCTCAGATATGACACCACTGCTACCGCTGCACCACTGCACCACTGCAGTGTTGGTTAGTTAGTTGGTTGGGTACCTAAAGTAAAAATAAGGAGCAGATAGTTACTTAGTAGTAAGCCTAACGAACATTCCATCGTTCCATCATCCATCCATCCATCCATCCATCCATTCATGATAAGCTACTTACCCTTGAAACAAGTGGGGGTATTGTCTGTCTGTCTGTCTGAGCGGGTAGATCGGTTAACACGGAACTATTTACTTACTTACTTACTTAGTTACTTACTCTTCATGACACATGCTAGTCTAGCTAGTTAGCTGGCTGGCTACTACTTCGTGATGATGAATCCTGATGGAATCGAGAATATGATAATATCATCGAATGGTAATATTCAAGAAGCCGCTTGTTGCGCGGTCGGTCGGGATTTGGCAAGATATATTTATCACCTACTTAGGAATAATTTGTTGGTGGTTGCGTGGTGAGTGCCCACGTGTTGATGGGATAGGGATATTTCATTCCTTCGTAACGAATAAAGTATCCATAAGGATTGTAGTAATGATATCGGGAGATGTCGGTGCTACATAGTAAGTCAGAGTAGTATTCACTAGGTAATGGATAAATAATGAAGGATGAGGATGAAAGCTAACTGACGGACAATATCCGATGGTAAATAATCCCACCAATTAGATAGGTAATATGCTTACCTTAGCTAGTAAGAATATATCCAAGTTATCAGGAAGAAACAAGGACCCCCTCGTTCCAGAAGCCTTCCATCACTTTCACGCTCCGCTTCTTCATCATCTCATCTCATCGGCTAATTGCATGTGAGAATTAAACCTGTGTGTCACGGCAACCGTTTACCGTTTATCCTTCCCTTCCCTTCCCTGTTCTTTTTCCCTTTTCCTTTTCCTTCCGTTCCCGCTAGTCTACTAACTACCGAAGAGGGGGGAGGGGCCGTGAACTGGCGGTGAGAGAATGAATTCCTTGTACGGAGTATGGGTTGTACAATTACGTTACTTGGTGTGATCGGCGCACACGAGGGGAAGAGTTGGTTATGGTTACTCCGTTGGCCTAAGATTTATCCTTTCTCTATTTCTTTGTGTAAAGGGTAAATAGTGTGGGTGTGGGAATATATTCCTATTCGAGTGGGATGTGTCTGGAGAAGAGCAGGTTTTGGGATGTATGCCGTAAGTATTGGGATGGAGGTGAGTGTGATTATTCCCGCGGCGGATAGAATATCCACCACTACTCACTTACCTAAATTAGGAATTTAAACTGATATGGAATATCTTGATTTTCGACTTTAACTTTCCGTGACCGTTGAGAAAAAAAACAGGGAAAAAGAAAAGAATGATAGAATGACCGTTATCCCACGGGGTCGGTGTCTGTAGCCGGTCAATAACGGTTGACTACTTACGTAGTTTAGCAACCAGATTGGGAATTGATATCCCCTACTTACTACTATCATCAAAATAGCCACTATGTATATGGTATCATCCTTGCCGGGAGGATGTGGCTTTGGGTTTAGCGGTGAAAGAAGTACTACACTTATTTCTGTTGTGTTTCGTTTTCTTGTTTGCTGTGGATGGTTGCATCGACTTATTGAACTCTTTCTTAGTTTCTTTCTTCATCATCTTCTTTATCGGGATTGATGTTGGTTGGTGCGGTGGGACTACTAGACTATGATGATTGAGAGATGGGTCTAGATCTAGACCTCGGTGGGGGTCTGGGTGTGGGTGGTGGGTGGGTTGTTCTTTTGTTGTTCTTTTGTTCTTCGATGCTGGTGGCGCGGAGCGGTGTGCGATTATCATTATCGTATATCATTTTTTATGGATGATATTTATAGGAACTCAAGGAAGAGGTACTTTCTCTTATCACAATGAAAGTGTTGTTTTAGCTTGATTGACATACTTAATGTTGGGACGTGTAAGTGTACATGTATAATGGTAGATGGATGGTTTTGTGGTGGTGTATGCATTGTTTGTAGATTTATTCATTTCGTAGAGAATAGCTTCTATCCAGCGATTTCTGGATACGAATAATATCGCTATGAGATGGGCATATCTCGAACAGCATAGTGTGAATGATGTCTCACATATTGCCGAATCCCGGTATTTCTCTAACAAGGTTGCTAGATAGAGCCGTAGAAGAAATAACTCTTGAGATATGGGTCATTCAGTGAGCTGCTGAATATCAAGTAACTCACAGAAATGGAAGAGGGTCTAGGAATAGCACAAGCTTCCTCGTCGACTAGTATAGAGCATAACGCGATATGCAGCTCCGTGCACATGTGGATCTGAGCCGATATCTATCGCCTCCTTCGAGAATATTACCAATGCGCTAGAGTAGAGCCTCAAGGCATGACTAGTGCACGGACTAGTCTGATATGTCTATATAGTGTATATTAGTGATAAAGCCTGACGTATGCATTTGTCGGATGTGTCTGGTTATAGAGGTTAGCCCTGCCATGAGCTTGATATTCACATCGTCCCCCTTAAATACATGTTGTCCCGAAACTGTTAGCATGTTGGCTGCAGTATGACTGGCATGACTGGTTTCGAGCATATGCACTGTGATGCCAGGTTCACTTCCTGTCATCGGAACGCAAATCACTTAGGAGGTTAATAACCTCCTTTAGTATCCCATTGGTCTTCATTGGGCTTGAAGATCTTCGGGCTGCTTTAAAGCATGATTGGCACGATTTGTATGCCAGTTCCTGCAAGGCAACAATCTTGAAGCAGAATGGTGACTATGGAGCTGGATGGTCTATCTCATGAATTCTGCTCGAAAGCCACCTATTTCCCCATCCGTTGATGGTGAGCCAAAATTCGAGCAGGCAGCTTTCCAAACTCCAAATCCTTCAATGCGATGAACGCGGTGTTATCGGAGTTATGGGCGTTCCTGTAGACCGGAGTTAAGACTTGATATTTCCGAACTGCACAGTATATAGTGTTGAGCATAACAGTGGTTGCAATCACGCAGGAACATCTTAAACCTGCGTGAATATCTATTAGTCTGTACCAATCATGTCTTCTGAGCAAAAGTTGGTCCTAATCACTGGTACTTCTTCCAGCCCAACAATTGGTATCAACTAACATCTCCAGGGGCAAACCAGGGCATCGGATTCGAGACGGCCAAGAACCTGATCCTCTCCGACAATTACCATGTAATTTTAGGCTCGCGAGACCCAGTCAAGGGGGAAGAGGCGGCCAAGACTTTGCAGGCTTTTCCCGGTGTCAAGGGCAGTGTCTCGTCAATTCAGATCGACGTGACTGACGATCAGTCCGTCGATGCTGCTGCTGCCCAGATCAAAGCTCAGTATGGACGACTTGACATCCTGGTCAACAATGCTGCCATGAATTCGATGAAGCATCCGCCAAGTCGAGAGGCTATGCGCCAGATCCTGGATGTGAACGTGGTCGGAGCACTTAGCACGACAGAAGCATTTCTCGACCTGCTTCGGAATTCATCTGAGAAACGTCTTG